AAATAAATAAAATCTTTAAAAAAAAAAAAAAAGATTTCCTTTTCTTTGGAGTATTTAGTCCTGCCAAATCTGCTCTTATTTCTTTAAAACAAATTATTAATTCTCTAACTTTGAGATAGTCTTAGGATCCTATAATAGTTGAAAACTGTTCTGAGAGACAGGTAACTGTCCTTCCAAATAAAACAGGCATGCCTTGTTTCATTGCACTTTGCTTTACTGTGCTTAAGAGAGACTGTTTTTTGTTGTTGTTGTTTTTTTTTTACAAATTGCGGGTTTATGGCAACCCTGCATTCAGCAATTCTATCAGCACCACTTTTCCAACAGCATTTCTCACTTTGTGTCTCTGTGCCACATTTTGGTAATTCTTACAATTTTTCAAATTTTTTCATTATTATATTTGTTATGGTGATCTCTAATGAGTGATCTTCATGTTACTATTATAATGGTTTTGGGGTGCCAGAGACTGCTTCCACATAAGATGGACAACTCAGTGGATCACTGTCGTGTGTGCTCACACTGTTCCACCAACCAGCCCTTCCTCCATCTCCCTCCCTTTTCTTGGGTCTCCCTATTCCCTGAGACATAGCAATACTGAAATCAAGCCAATTAATAGCCCTACAGTGGCCTCTAAGTGTTCAAGTGAAAGGAAAAGCCACACATCTCTCACTTTAAATCAAAAGCTAGAAATGATTAAGCTTAGTGAGGAAAGCATGTTGAAAGCTGAGATAAGCTGAAAGCTAGGCCTCTTGTGCCAGGTAGCCAAGTTGTGAAGGCAAAGGAAAAGTTCTTGAAGGAAATTAAAAGTGCCACTCCAGGGGCACCTGGCTGGGTCAGTCAGTAGAGTATACGACTCTTGATCTCAGGGTCATGAGTTTGAGCCCCAAGTTGGGTGTAGAGATTACTTTAATAAACAAACAAACAAATAAATAAATGTGCTACTCCAGGGAACACACAGGTGATAAGAAAGCAAAACAGCCTCACTGCTGTATGGAGGAAGTTTTGGTGATCTGGAGAGAAGATAAAACCAGCCACACATTCCCTTAAACCAAAGCTTAATCCAGAGAAAGGTCCTAACTCTCCTCAATTCTCTGAAGGCTGAGAGAGGTGAGGAAGGTGCAGAAGAAAAGTTTGAAGCTAGCAGAGGAGGGTTCATGAGGTTGAAGGAAAGATGCTGCCTGTGGAACGTAAAAGTACAAGGTGAAGAAGCAGGTGCTGATGTAGAAGCTGCGGCAGCTTACCCAGAAGCTCTAGCTAAGAGAATTCCTGAAGGTGCTACACTAAACAGCAGATTTTCAGGGTGGATGAAACAGCTTTCTACTGGAGAGTTGGCATTAAGGATGTTCATAGCTAGAGAGAAGTCAGTGCCAGGCTTCAAAGCTTCAAAGGACAAGTTGACTCCCTTGTTAGGGGCTAATGCCACTGGTAACTTTAAGTTGAAGCCAATGCTTATTTGCCATTCTGAAAATTCTAGGGCCTTTAAGAATTATGCTAAATTTACTACTCACATCTGTTTACATGATGGTTTGCTGAATATTTTAAGCACACTGTTGAGACCTACTGCTGAGAACAAAAATTCCTCCAAAATTTGATTGCTCATTGACAATGGACTGGTCACCCAAGAGCTCTGATGGAGATGTACAATGAGAGAATGTTGTTTTCATGTCTGCTACCACAACATCCATTCTGTGGCCCATGGATCAAGAAGTAATTTTGACTTTCAAGCCTTTATGATTTAAGAAATACACTGTGTAAGGTTATAACTGCCACAGATGGTGATTCCTCTGATGGATGTAGGCAAAGAAGATTGAAAACTTTATAGAAAAAGATTCACCATTCTAGATGCCATTAAGAACATTCATGATTCACTGGAAGAGATCAAATATCAACATCAACAAGACTTTGGAAGAAGTAGATTCCAACTCTCATAGATGAGTTTGAGGGGTTCAAGACTTCTATGGAGGAAGTAACTGAAGAATGGGTGGAAACAGCAAGAGACCTGGAATTAGAAGTGGAGACTGATGATGTGACTGAATTGCTGCAATCATGTGATAAAACTTAAACAGATGAGGAGTTGCTTATTATGAACGAGCAAAGAAAGTGGTTTCTTGGCATGGAATCTACTCCTGGTGAAGATGCTGTGCAGACTGTTGAAATGACAACAAAGGCTTTAGAATATTAAATAAACTTAGTTGATCAAGTAGCAGCAGGGTTTGAGAGAATTTTTTTTTAAGTTTTTAATTTTAATTCCAGTATAGCTAGCATACAGTGTTACATTAGTTTCAGGTATACAATACAGTGATTCAATAGGGGTTGAGAGAATCGACTCCAATTTTGAATGAAGTTCTACTGTGGGTAAAATGCCATCAAATGGCATCATATGCTATAGAGAAATCATTCCTGAAAGGTAGAGTGAATAAATGAGGCAAACTTCACTGTTGTCTTATGTTAAAAAATCACCACAACCACCCCCAGTTTCAGCAGCCACCACTCTGATTGATCAGTCAGCAGCCATCAACATCGAGGCAAGACTCTTCACCAGCAAAAAGATTCAGACTTGGTGAAAGATCAGAGGATGCTTACCATTTTTTAGCAATAAAGTATTTTTAAATGAAGGCATGTACATTATTTTTTTTAGACATAATGGTATCACATACCTAGCAGACTACAGTATAATGTAAACATAACTTTTACATGCACTGCAAAACCAAAAAAATTCATTTGACTCGCTTTTTGCGGTGGTCTGGAACTGAACCTGCAAAATCTCCAAGTTGAGCTTGTAGTGGACAGAAATCTCATTAGAGTCAAGCATCAGTTTGTGTTTAAGAAGTATGAAAGGTGCCACCAATAAATATAAAACCGATACAAGATAGAAAGGGTGGGGAAGGAATTATGAAAAAAGAGGGGAAATGAGGAAGGGAAAATAGATGAAAGGTGAAAAAAAGACAGAAGGATAAAAATACACACAGGAATGTGTTAACTAACTAGAATGTAAATAAAAACTTTAAACATTAAAGAGAATGGAAAAAGAAAAAGAAAAAAAAAAAGATACACACAGGACTGAGTATTTGAAAACACCACCAACTGTCTCATTAGCCACTGCCATCAGACTGGATCCTAACCTTGGACTGTACTGCAATTAGTATTATTCCAGTGAAACCCTGGGATAGAGTTCACAAATCAAAACTGAGGGGATAAAGTAGCCAAGTACATACTGGATCTGTCGCTCCAAAAAATCAACTCCAATGGTTTTCTTGTAGTCTTTTGTAAAAATGCCTTTGCAATATCGCTGAATCATACTTGATTTTCCAACTGCTCCATTCCCTACAACCACCATCTTGATGGCCACTTCCATATCTTCCTCCAACATTTTTGCAGTTGAAAAGGCTTCTGAACCAACTTTAATCCAGGTGATCAGATCTTCTCAAATCTGTGGTTTAAAATGAAATTATGTTTCATAACATAGAAATTGTACAGAATATTACAATTTTATTTTATTTTTTTTAAGATTTTATTTATTTATTTGACAGAGAGAGACACAGCAAGAGAGGAAACACAAGCAGGGGGAATGGGAGAGGGAGAAGCAGGCTTCCCGCTGAGCAGGGAGCCCGATGCGGGGCTCGATCCCAGGACCCTGGGATCATGACCTGAGCCGAAGGCAGACGCTTAACGACTGATGGACCCAGGTGCCCCAAAATATTATAATTTTAAAAATTGATTTATTTATTTGAGAGAGAATGTGTGCGAGCAGGGGGAGGGGCAGAGGGAGAGGGAGAGAATCTCAAGCAGACTCTCTGCTGAGCGCGGAGCCGGACCTGGGGCTGGATCCCAGGATCCTGAAATCATGACCTGAGTTGAAACCAAGAGTCAGACGCTTAAAAGACTGAGCCACCCAGGCACCCCAAAAATTGTACAAAATAAGCCATAATTGTTTTATGAAGAAATAACTATAGTGCATTGCAAGAATTTTTCCATGATGGAGGTCCCCTTACCACCCTGTTTATATCATGTAAATTCATTGAAAGGAGGTACAATAACATCATTCACTTTTGAATCCTGAACAATAGCACACAATATATGACATCAGGTATTAATAAATGCCTAGATTACGTAGTTCTACCTTTCAATGAGACTAAGACTAAGACTGCAGTGTTAGAATTGAGGTCTGATTGAAAGCTGCCACTTACTAGTTCTGTGCTCTAAGTGACGTTACTGGCTAACCTCTTTAGGCTTCAGTTTAACTGAGGATATCTACCTCAGAAGATTGTTGATCAATGGTACATATAAAGAACTTAGCATAGTGCAAATTAAGCATTCAGGGACGCCTCGATGGCTCATCAGTCGGTTTAAGCATCTGCCTTCGGCTCAGGTCATGATCCCAGGGTCCTGGGATCGAGCCCCGCATCGGGCTCCTTGCTCAGCAGGGAGCCTGCTTCTCCCTCTGCCTGCCGCTCCCCCTGCTTGTGCTCTCTCTCTCTCTCTCTAACAAATAAATACATAAAAATCTTAAAAAAAAAAAAAAGAAAATTAAGCATTCAAAAAATGGTAGTTTAGTTTTATACAACATAATAAATCCTCCACAGTTACCACCACATGGGCAACAAATACAAAATCTAAGGAAACTGCTTGTTCGATCTCACAGGTAATAATTAATATCCCTAGAAAAGCACCCCAAAGAAAGATTTTGTGTAATAATATACAACTGTAACAGCACTGGACTCTTACTGTTCAGGTTACAATGACTCCTTCACAAATAATCTTATACCACACATTCGTTCTTTAGTTTCAGACTAGTTACAGTTACTCATATAATGAAAGTAATACAATGTGTACTGCTTGCATTTTAGACTGAAAAGAACAGAAAGTCAATTTCTTAGGAAAATTACTAGTTAAGTTCCTGACTACTGTTATATGTTATAATATTATATTCCAACTCCCTTAACTGAAAATCCATCTATACCACCACTACACAAAACAAGTCTGAAACATGAAGAACATTCCTCTCCGCTCCTCATGGAGTCTCAATAATTGTCCCTAGTGCTTCACAAACTTGCACAATCATAAGAATCATCTAGGAAGATTTGTTAAAGTATAGGTTCTAGGTGTCCACCTCAAACATAATTAAATGATGTAAAAAAATAGAGTATCAGAATGAAAAGAAGAATGTGGTAGGAGCAAAAATACAGGTAAATACAACAGATTTCTCTTGAGCATTCTAAATTATGTTTGACTCAAACACAACTGTGTGGTTTTCAATATGTGTAGAGAAAATATTTAACATAATTAATTATAAATGGGAGAGGTCAACGGAATGTAAAGGGAGGTAAGATTTCTATGCTTCCCTTGAACTGGTAAAATGTTGACACCAACGGATTGTGATAAATTATATATATGTAGTGTATACAGTATAATACCTAGAGCAACCACTAAAGAAGTTACACAAAGAGGGGCACCTGGGTGGTTCGGTTAGTTAAGAGTCTGCTTTAGGCTCAGGTCATGATCTCGGGGTCCTGGGATCAAGCCCCCGCATCTGGCTCCAAGCTTACCATGGAGCCTGCTTCTCCCACTTCCTCGGCCCCTCCCCCAACTCATGCACTCTCCCACTCTCTCTCAAATAAATAAAATCTTTAAAAAAAAAAAAAAGTTATGCAAAGAGATATACTCAAAAACACTACAATAAAACAAAATGAAAGTCTAATAACACAATAAAACTATCAGAATCTAATTGGCATTTTTTTTAAAGATTTTATTTATTTATGTCAGAGAGAGAGAGAGCACAAGTAGGGGGAGTAGCAGGCAGAGGAGGCAGAAGGAGAAGCAGGCTCCCCACCGAGCAGGGAGCCCGATGCGGGACTCGATCCCAGGACCCTGGAATCATGACCTGAGCTAAAGGCAGACGCTTAACCAACTGAGCCACCCAGGCGTCCCTCTAACTGGCATTTATAGAACTGTCCATACAACAGAATATACTTTTTTCTTTTAAAGATTTTATTTATTTATTGAGAGACAGAAAGAGTGTAAGCAGGGGGAGAGGCAGAAGGAGAGGGAGAAAAAATCTCAGACTCTGCACGGAGTCTGTCTCGGGGCTTGAACTCACAACCTTAAGATCATGACCTGAGCCAAAATCAAGAGCCGGACAATCTGACTGAGCCACCCAGGCGCCCCAGAACATACTTTTTTTTCAAGTACCCATTAAATATATACCAAGATAAAACAGATTCTAGGCCATAAAACAAACTTCAATAAACTTAAAATAATGAGACTACAACGCAATCAAACTAGAAATCAGTAACAGAAAGATAACAGGAAAACCTGCAAACATATGCAAACTAAAAACACAGACTTCTAACTTCTAAAGAACCTGTGGGCCAAAGAAAGAAGCTCAAAAGACATTTTTTTCAAATAATTAAACTGAATTAAAATGAAAATACAAAATGTGAAAATTTGTGGGACATAGCTAATGTAGTGCTGAGAGGGAAAATTATAGCACTAAATGCTTACCATAGAAAAGAAGTTAAGTCTCAAATCAATAATTTAAACTCTCACCTCAAGAAACTAGAAAAAGAAGAGCAAAATAAACCCAAAGCAAAGGATGGAAATAATAGAAGCAAGCAGAAATCACTGAAATTGAAAACAGAAAAATAGGGAAAATTAAACAAAAAACTTTCTTTAAAGATAAAAAAAAACTGAATAACTCAGGAAAAAAAAAAAAGAGAAGATACAAATTACCAGTATTAGGAATAAAATCAGGAATGTCACTGTGGACTTTGCAGACTCAAAAGGATCATGTAACAAAACAACTCTACACACATAAATTTGACAACTTAGGGAGGCCTGGGTAGCTTAGTCCGTTAAGCAT